ATATTGGATCATATATTAAAATTGGCATATTAGTGATATTTCCACAGTTGTGGTCTTAAAATAAAACCGATTTGGGACAAATTCAGTCGAGTCGGAGACAAGACCATCACAGTCTTGACTAAGTACTTACTAAAATAAGTTAAACCTAAAACAATACAACTTAAAGCAGAAAATAATAATAATAATAAAATAGCAAGGGTAAGCTAAATGTAGCAAAAAGCTATAGACAAAAAAAAAACAGTGGTCACACTCAAAGTAGAAGAATAGAAAATAGTTAAATGCAGCAAAAGCAAAGCTTAAAGTAGCAAAATGCTAACTAAAAGCTACATGTAACATTACACTAAACAGAAGCAAAGTTTTAAAGCTAAATGCTTTTATTAGCTAGAAGCTAAAAACACAAGATATAAAAGCTAAAAATTGCAAAACAGTAGCCATAAGCTAAAAATAAGAAAGGCCAGATAAAAAAAGACAGCTCGAAAAAGCAGCTAAAAACCAAAAATGGCATAAGAGAACAAAAATAAAAACTACACTGCTGTCATTTTATAGAGAGTGTTTAAGAAACTGACAAAAAATCTGGGAAAGCTACAAAAAAACAAAAAGTCAGAACACACATCTGAAGGAGCAGAATGTCTGAAATAGCACAAGGCGTGCAAAAACTGCAAAACTTAAAATGTTTTTAACAGATCCATTTTATAACTGTTTATATGGCTGTTGAGACAGCATAGTGTAGTTTGTCACTTGGCAAATGTTCCTATTAGTTTTCTCATTACTCAGCAAACTGGAAATCTTCCAACCTCTTCCTTCCTTCCTTCCAGCTGGAGTGCACACTCTGTTGCAACAGTTTGAACAACTTACTCAAGWTTTAACGGCTGGTTGAATTAACCAGCCCTGTCCCGACTGTTGTGACAACCGATGTGAATCATGGAAAAACAGTAAGCGCAGGGTCGATCGTCCCATCGCTCACGATAARACCCACATTTATCCTTCCCCGAGCWGAAAATGTGGTTTACAAGRCATCATGAGGCTTACTCTGTGGGCTGCGGGAAGCTTYGGTATTTTGTTCCAAGGTCATCGTTGGTGTCCTCACATTCCAAACATAGTTTCTTTTCTTTTTAGCTGCTCTGAAAGAGAAATTAGCCTCACACCTGCAAACATTAGTAAAGCACATTACTTGCATCACTATTACAGTTCATACATTCTTTTTTTGCTGCTCTATACATTCGTATATATGCATTTTCATATGCTATATTRTGTGTATATRTTTATACTACAGCACTTCATGTAAATGATACATACTTGCATTTCTGGTTGGATGCTAACTGCATTTCATTGGCTCTGTACTTGTACTCTGCACAATGACAATTAAAGTTTAATCTAATCTAATTTGTTGGACCAGACAAAGAGCATTAAATGTAAAAATTCAGTGTTGAATGTCTGCTAAAATTACTAGCAAAAAGACTAAATAAAAGTTGAACAAAAGAAGCTATGCGCTAGGTAAATGCAGAAAAAAAAAGCTATTGGTTTAAAAAAAAACGATTAAAGATATACAGCTAAATTTAGCAAAACACTGGGTAGAAACGAAAAAAAATTATATATATGGGAGCTAAAAGTAGCAAAATGAGAAAATACCAGCTAAACGAAAACACTTGCAAAGACARAGAAATGCTAGCATGCATCAAAACGTTAGCTATAAGTTAAGAAAATGCAGCTATAAGCTAAATATAACAAAAATCATTGTGAATGCTAAATCTAACAAAACTGTAGTTAAAGTTAAAAGCAAGAACATGCCATCTAAAAGCAGCAGAATGGCATAAAGAAGCTAAATAAAAGCTAAAAGTAGCAAAAAAAAGTTTAAATAAGCAGTCAGTGAAAGAAAGGAGCTAAAAAAGTAGCAAAGGGGTAGTTATAAGAGAAAAACTAGTCAAAAACTAAAAGGTAGTTAAAAACTAATGTTCCTACATTAGTTATTAGAGGTGTAAAAGCAGCAAAATGGAAGCTAAAAGGCTAGCTTAAAGTAGCAGAATGGCAGCAAACTAAAACATAAGACAAACAGAGCAATTACACTAAAGCACATTTAAAAAAAATCTTTTGTGAAGGAATTTAAGAAATCTTGCTTTTACAAAGAACATATTTGTAATAAATATTGGTTACCGGTACACAAAAAAACGCCTCTCCCTTGAATGTGCTGAACATTTTAATTAATCACTAAAATAGAAAATATACAGAAAAACATTAAAATCAGGTAAATAGTGTGAATGAAGAGTTAGCATTTATACTAGTGTTTTATAATTGAGCCAACCTTAGATTAAACATAAAACTTCAGAAACATTGCTAAGTTTAAAAAAAAGGCAAACAAAATTCTCTAGAGGAAGATAACTTTAATCAAGATTAAATATATGCCCAAAATGATTTTGCAACTTATAGATCTGAAAAGAGTCAAACGATAAGAAAAAGTTGAGTTTCTCTGTCATACCAATAAAGTCTTAGTTTCACACGTCTTCTAACYAGATATGGGTAAAACACAAATCTTTCACCTTAATGTACAGTGCAAATTCATTTGCAAAACCACAGCCTTCTTTCATATCTGAAACCCAAACATAAACTCATTTATAGATTATTTACATACAAGGTTTGAACAACTCAAACCCAAGTTGTGACCAGTAAGAAACATGTCTGTGGGGTTGGGTGGCTGGACTGAGCCATAGTGAACATTTTACAGACAAAAAAAAAAAAAAAAAATCACTGTATGGATGAGGAACAGGCAGAGATGATCAGTTTATACAGAACAACAAATGAAAAGATGATGGAGACAGAATTTGAGAGGGTCGCCAGTTTTTCCACAATACTCGAGATGCCGACTGATGACTGCATGAAAATAAAATAAAAAAAGAAGAAAAGAAACGCAGTGTTAGTTGTCTAAACGCTGCACAGACGTAACAGTGTGCCATGACCTGCAAAACGTGGATTCTTAGTTAAATGCTGCCTGCCACAACTTCAAAACAAATATTCGGAGTTACGCCACACACAGATCATCTCCCTGTCCGTGTTTTATTTTAAGAATGGACGTTTGATGAAATATGAACAGCTGATTTGTGTGGAAACCGTAAAAACTGAAGATTTGACATTTAAACTTCCTCCAACAAGGCAAACTGATTTATTTTGTTATATTTTAAACCTGCATGCTAGTTTACGTTCCCTCTCTTAACGCTCATGGATGACTTCTTACCCGTCCTTTAGGAAATTTTGGCAGTAGTTTAACAAAAACAAAGATTATGTTGATGTATACTCATGTTTTTAACGTAGAACAGAGCAGAGAACAGATCATCTGTGTGTAAAAGGCATAGTGTTATGAAGCACGTTTTCATTATCACTTGATTTTCCTCATTGTGTTCTCGCAGGATAGTCCGGGTTTTAGTTTTTTTTCTCCACCAAACAGGAAGCGTTGGTTCACAGTGTTGGACGTACCAAGTTTCTGGTTGTGGTTGCGAGAGTCCAACGGGTTGTGGGCGGCCACGAAGCCAGGTTGGGGCGGCGGGATCAAGGGGAAGAGGAGGAGCCCAGTGAAAAGAAGTGGTCAAATACAAGTTAGGAGGACAGTCCTACAGCTTGGTGTGAGTGCAGCAAGGACAGGCAGTGAATGTACAACAGAAATGCACACTCTTCATTCGAAGGGCTTAATGACAGCATGTAGCAAGGATGGTACTTGGGTCTCACGCAGACAAACACATAAATCCAATCTCCAAATAAAGGTTCCAGATGCATCTCTGTCGCCCTCTGGTGGTTTTTGTCCATAACAGCTCAACTCTCCCCTGCTGCACACACACACACAAACACACTCACACAGATACAGGTTGCCTTCACGCACGAATGTGAACAAACACTCCTCGGCTCTCCCCGTATCTTTGTTCAGGCTTATCTGGTGTAGTAGACTCTGTAGTAAACACTCTTGGAGCGCCAGAGTGAGTACGAGTTGTCGAACTTGAGCAGGTAGACTCCGCGGCCCGGGTACTGGTGGCTGCCGGCGTACACCTCCTCGTGACAGTCCCGCCGGTAAACCGGCACAATCTCATCCACGTGGGGCTTCCCCGCCTCCTTCTTCGCCTTTTCCTCTTCGGTGGGAGGATCGCCTGAGGCCAGAGAAACGGTTTTATTAAAAAAAAAAAAGAAAAAAAAGAGTTGTTTTTGCAATAATTGATCAACTTTGTTTTAAAGCAATTAATCTGCACCACAGCTGTATAAACACATACTTTCTGTTTTASTAAACAATAACATTACTTCTTTAATGCTCAAGTTTTTCCATCATTTATATCAAAACCATAGATCTAAATATAAAGCCACACGATTTGGCCAAACTCGGCATAAATAAGGTTTACTTTTTAAAGGGATCCATGATTAGTTGTAACATTAGACTTTATATGATAAAAATATTTTAACTGTAAAATATCAGAGGTCACGTTAACAGAATTGAAAGAGTCGATCGTCAGATATTGTCCAAGATTAACCTTCAGGGTGGATATAGCTCGCTCATACTAAGGACCTATCCATGTCATCATTTACCCAGAATGCTTTGCGTGTAAATGAAATGGCTCCATATGTGTAATATATTTTTGAACTTTTAGTTTAAAAATTATAAAAACTGAACATCCTACAGTATTTTTACAGTCTTTATTTTACAGTTAAAATATATGTTTATCAAATAAAGTAATGTTACAACTAATCATGGATCCCTTTAAATCATACATAAACATAATAGAAAATTATACTTTTTTAAAATATTTTCAGTATATCTGCAGGTCGCAACTTACAACTCAAAATACCAAATTACTGAGTTTTCTTTTTTTTTCTTTAGAGTTAAGCAAAATCGTATGGTGTGCAATTAATTGTTGATTAATATAATTAATGCCATCTGGCAAAATAATCAAATATTTTCCAGATCAGTCTGCCAGGAGCTCCTCTTCTTCTTCCTCCTCTTCTAATCCAAATAATGGATCACCAACTTTCTCAWTAAAGTCCTCAAATTGTCTGTTTTTCCTCCATCTGTCTTTAAACGTCTTACTTTTCTGCAACGGTTCTGACTGAATYTTGGTCCATCTGTCTGCAGTTCCACGTTCAAATATCACCTTATTATCACCTTAAGACAATAAAACTGACCAAACTAAACTACACTCCAACTATAAAATTCAAACAATATCATAAATCTCTCATATCTCATCGCTCGGATCTGATCTTTGTTTCTCCATTGCCGCCAAACTTCATTCAACTTTTGTGTCGTTTTGTTTTCTTCTTCCTGTAGATTCTTTGGCGCATAAATAATTTCAGGCATCAGTCAGAAAAGAGTTTGGGGGGCAGGGGTGTGTTTATGTTAGTTCAGCATGAAACCAGAGGTTGAATTGAGGCGTTTTTTTTCCATAAATCTGTGTCTTTTGCTGCCACCTGCTGCAACACTTCAAATATGACAAACATCAGAAAGTGCCGTAAAATTATTTATCATAGCTCCAGTTTTTCTAGACCTATCAACACAATTTAAAAACTGATGTATAACTGAGTCTGTACTTTTGACACAAATTGGAACAGATTCTTACAGAGAGTGCAYCTTTCCCACTAGAGTGATTTAAATCAGTCATGTGACTCAAACGTGCCAGGGTCCAATCATCATTTTGATAATTATCAGCTAAATGCCACGATTAATCGTGATTAATTTTTTTGCCAACCCTATTTAACACAACATAAAATGTTTCCAAATATTCTGACATGTTGACAAAAAAAATCTAAAGTTATATCCTGCTACAGAACAGGTTCTGTGTCAGACTCCCACCTTGACAGAGATCCTGGATATCATCGCTGATTCAGTTCTGACTTAATTTTATTCCAGATTATTAATTCTATATAAACAAAGATGGAATCCAGTATGGGTACCACTGCGTAGTTATGATTATTTAACCACAAGAAAAGGTAAAAAAAAAAAAGCAAAATAACTTGATAATGAACTCCAGTGAAAATGCTGCTTTAAAGCCAAATCCCACAGCAGAGTATTTGTAAACAAAGAAATCGGAGGATATTCTTTTACCTTCTTCGTCCTCGTCTTCATCGCTGGACTCTGACACGTGCACGCTAACCGAGGCCGAGGCGGCGTCCGTCCACTCGAAGAACACCCCAAAGCCGATGTCATAATAGTCCGTGGCAAACTCCCAGAAAAGGTAGGATCCTTCCTCATGGGTGGGGACCCGCACCGTGACCACCTCGCCGCGCCCCACTGTGATCACGCTGTCCGGGTCCTGGCGGATCTTCTCCTTGAAGTCCTTGATCTGCGGCCGTGTCCACATCGAGGGAGCTGCTATGACTGGTGGGGAGTCTGACGCGGTTCAAACAAAGAGATAAATAAATAAAAAGGAGGAGGAGATACTTTGTTGAAACAAAGCACTCCRTTAGGCTGACAGACCTCCAGCCCACCTACCTAATAAAGGCCCGTTTTCTGAGACCTCCTCCGCCGGCTCGGGTTCTGGCTCTCGGTCCATGCTCTCCGAGTAGGAGTCCGACTGGCCTCCGTTGAGCGTCGGCGCTTCGTCGCCAACGAGCGGCGAGGCGGCGCTCAGCGGACCGGCTGCTGAGGCAGAAACGGGTTCCCCGCTGTTAAAGCTGCTGGAATCCAAGGCGCCCTGCGCCGCCGCATCAGCCTGCTGTTGCTGCCTCTGCAGGGCCGCCTGGGACAAGAGGACGGAACCAGATTAACATATTCATTAACAACAGAATAAACCCAGGACGTTAGTATTACTAACCCATCAACTATAATAACTGGAGGTGCTAAAGATGAACACTGTTCATGCTAACGTTCACAGTGTTTGATTTAGTCTACTGGAGTACACTTTTGAAATTAATAAATGCAGATTTGGACCAGTTTTTTTTTTAACCTTTATCGGTTTACTGGTTTTAAGACCCCGATATTTCTTCTGCAGGTGTCAAAATACAGCTTGTGTTCTTGAAACTATTTGGAGATGCCAGGGACAAAACTGAGACCGATTCAAGATGCTTCAGACGATTCTGTGACTGGAGAAAATTAGTCGCTCGATTTTTTGTGGATTATGCTAAAAACTCGACATGGTTGTCTTGACAACTTACGAAAAAATGTGAGAATACACTCCCTCTCAATCGTCACTGTCATACACCAGCAGGTGGAGCCCCACTGAGATACAGTATAGTCATGGAGTTTATATAGAACAGCTGGAGCTCAGAAACTATGTGACCGTGTGATTGATTGTAGGAGCTAACAGCTAACGCAAAACGTTTAAGAGTCTGGATATTACTGTACTTGTTGGCAACAGAGCAGAAAAAGAGGACTGACGATGTAGAAATCATAAAAAACAATAATATTAACTCAATTATTATTAATATTTTACAGTTTATAAAATCTATCTAATGTTTTAAATAATGTCAGAAANCAGTAAGAAGAAATATTAAATAAACTTTTTTACTAGCTGAAGTCATCATTTTTCAACTAGCTAAAGTCTAAGTTACAGGCTGTCTTCAGGTCTGGTTTAGATCATTGTTATTTGTAAATTATATATTTTTCTGGTATAAATTTGCTGTTTTACATGATTGTTGAATGAAATTAACATGGTTATTAATTTATTGTAAAAATTTTACAGATAATCTGTGAAACAGATCTGGTTCAGCTGCTGTTTATCTATTAGTTTCTGCTGTTTATTAGTTTCTATGGAGGCTGTGAGCTGTTGTCCTGTTTGGTCTGTTTCTGCTCCTCCATGCTGTCACAGACATTAACAGTGTACGGGATGGGCGGGGTTCAGTCTAGTGTTCTTATTCAAGTCTATGGATATGGTGCTGGAAATGTTTCTAGATTATTAAAAATGCTTTTAAACTGGCAGAGCTAAAAGACACATTTTGCTGGTACAGGTCACAAACAATATCTAAAAGAAACTGAATACACCTCTCACTTTTATTGCCAGAAGTTTACACGTTAATGACTGCGTGCTACAGGGGACAGCAAGTTTACACTGTTATACAAGCTGTACRTTGACTACATTGCTTTGTATCAAAGTGTCGTTTCTTTAGTGCTGTCCCATAAAAAGACAGAATAAAATATTTACAATAAAGGTGAGAGGGGTGTACTCACTGTTGTGAGATACTGTATATGTGCAGGTGTAAATCTACAAACATCCCACCTGCTGCTGGGCCAGCTGGACCTGGTAGAGCTGCTGCATGTACTGCTGATAGTGCTGCTCCTGAAGCTGACGGATGAGGCTCAGCTGCTGCTCGGGGCTGTTGGGGTACTGCTGCACAGCGTACTGTTGGAACTGCACCGCCGTCTGAGCGTTTAAAGCTGCCATTATCTGCTGCCTGCATAAAGCAACCAAAGGAAATACATTTTAAATAAAGTTTGGACATGAGAGACAAGACAATTCTCAAAAATATCTGATTTTGCACAAATATTTGAGAGGCGAACACACTTCTGTTGCTCGACCCGTAGCCTCTCCTCTTCTGCCTGCCTCCTCTCCTCTTCCTCTCTTCTCCGCCTCTCTTCCTCCTCGAGCCTTCGTCTCTCCTCCTCCTGGCGCTGGCGCTCCCTCTCCTCCTCCTCTTGCCTCAGCCGCTCCTCTTCCTCTTTCCTAAAGACGAAGAGTAGAGATACGCACAAACAGATTGGTTAAAACAAATTATTCTTAAATATGCAAAKGCAGAGGAGATTTTAGGAGTTTCAGGTCATGGTGTGTGTGTTCGCAACGTCACAAAAACAGGTTGGATTTAGAAGAGGAACATTTATACGTTTTAATCAAAGGGGCAACCGGAGCTGAACACCCCACCTTTTCCTCTCCTGCTCCTCCCTTTCGATTTTGTGTGATATGACGTAAGGAGCAAAGAGGTTGCAGCACTTGTTGAGCAGCTTGACAAACTCCAACATGGCCTCTTCCTTCTCCATGTTACCGAGGGTGGCCCACTCTTTCCTGCAGCCAAAGAAAGATCAAAAAGTTCTAAATATCTGAATGAAAAGCCTTTTTTTTTAATTAAAGGGGGAGTTAAAAAAAAGCTTGCATCCATCAAATTTGATTTTTTTCCCACATCCAAAACATGGCTTACATTAACCATTTAGTAAAAAAAAACATGTTCTGTGTCTGTGATGCAGAAGACTGACAGAATCACAAAATTGGATTTTACAAATGGAACACAGCAAAAAAAGTCAAAAAAATTTTACCATGTGATTTTTTTTCCTTTATAAAAAAACATTTTGCATCCGACACTAATTAAAACACAAACAAAATTCACAGGCTGCATATAACTGATTAAAATGAATGTAATTAACTGCAGCTGTATGAAAATATGTGACGACTGGTCAGTCATTTCAACACAGSAGGAGCGAGCTGAGGTTAGCACTTGGACAAACACATCAGAAGACGCAAAATGTGAGTTTATTAAACACTTTCTAACCACAAAAAAATGCATAACAAAATGAATATAAAATTATGTCTGATTTAGGCAACCTGTTTGTCTCAATCAAGCTGAAAGCAGGGCTGGACGGTATGACCTCAAATTCATATCAAGGTATAAATTGAACCCTTTCACGGTAACGGTATATATTGCGGTAGAAAATAATCATAAAAAGTAAAAATGTAATTTTTAGAGCTTTTTTTTTGCAGCAAACTGTAATCATAATTAAACCCAACGTTTTTGCTTTAATATCTTCCTGTCAAACAATGAGCYTCTGCCTGCTGAACTTATCAGCAGCTGCTCTGCTGAGCACTCATCTTCATCATCAGAGCAGAAGCCGGCTTTACTTTAGCAAGATGGATTTATGACTGAAMAAACGTCCACGTCTTTTTTTTAATAATCTCTGTGGGTAACAATACATAAAAAACTTTTTTCCCTCTGACAATTGGGTGTGAAAAACTACAGTTGTTAAAGCTTCGCTCTGCGCGACGTGCAGCAGGAGGGAGGAAATGATCCTGACACGACGTAACTTTTCTACAGCGGGAAGAGGAAATTTTTTGTTTTAAAACGCTAGAATTTCTTCATTGTATTTCGAACTCCTGCGTAGTTGTCTCTGCACTCGCAGCCCTGTTGACACAGGTGTRATGACGTAATGACGATAGGACGRGAGAGTATAAATTTCTACCATTTCTACTGTCTACCGCATATACCGTGCAGCCCTATCTGAAAGCAGTCCAGCAAAACGTCAGGTGCAAAAAGTAAAAGTCATAGTTAGCCAAACAACATAGCAACATCATCATTAATGAACCAGGTATCACTTGATTTTAATAAGTGAAATAGAATTTGGAAACCATGATGGAGAATGGTTAGCGTGTTTTCAGCCAACAAATACAGAAACATCTACACCTCCTTACAGTACCACCACATGGGTTTACGTGTTACCATTTTAATGGATGTGTATATATTTTTAAATAAAGTGCTGGTGAAGATTCTCAGTTATCCAGGTCATGATCAATAAAAAAAAGAGTTAAAAACAAAAACAACAGGACTTTCATTTCTAAAGTTGAAGGTGTTTTGTTTCCCATCCAGGAGGCTTTGAGACTTTGAATAGAAAAAGCCTCCTGGAAGGGAAACGAAACGTCTTCAACTTTAGAACTGAAAGTCCAGTTGTTTTTGTTTTTAACTCTTTTTTTTTTAAATAAACAAAAGTGAATGCTACAGTTGACTTTGCTCTCTGGACAATCAATGCCCTGCAGCTCGATTCGCCTTGCTTTGAACTAAAAACCAAGCCGAAGCGGGTGAAACCACTCAATGGAAAGACCCCGAACTTAAGCCAATTAAAGCTAAGTAGGAAAGAGTCCAAACCGTGGCAAACGACCATAATACAACAATTTCACACTATTTTAAGTTTACATGTCAAGCTCTTCTTTTACAAAAAGAACTGGTTTTTCCTTTTACAAAAAGAACTGGTTCATTATTTTCACACAAACACTGAAATGTATTTAGATATAAAATAGTGTTGGGCGGTATACCGTTTTGTACCGAATACCGGTTTTTATTTTTGTTATGATATGAATTTTTTGAATACCGGACATTCCGGTTTAAATAGCGGAAAGTTTCGTCGTGGCCGCCAGTGGACTGTTGTTTCCCGGGGGACATTTTTCCTTGCTGCACCGCTATGTGCGTTAGCATGCTAATGTTTG